ACTAAAATTAATTTTGATAACAGTATGAGCTGTACCATTAAGAAAATAATGCAAAACTACTAGAATGTTTTTAAAAAATAAATTACTAGTGAAACCACATAACAGTCTATAAATGCTGTGGTAGGTTCACAATATATTCAAAAGGGCAGACGAGTCACAATTTTAAGCCCTCTACTAAGCACTAGATTTTACAGAATTATAAAACTATTCATAATCCCCAAGCCACAAAAATCGGCAAGCTCCATTTAAATACACATCCAGAAATCACTACATTCACAACAATACAACACCAAAAAAACTAGTGCAAGCAAGCAAAGACACATCAGCCATAAGCCAGAAATATTTATGCAAATACACAAAATAAAAAAAAAATTAAAAAAAATATTCACCTCATATATTCTTGATAACTATAAATAAAACAGAGGTAGACAACCACTTGAATATTGACAAGAGACCACACTTTTTGTAAAATCAGAGACAACCCTGGTCATGCACAGACTACATTAAGTCACATTTCATGCGTATATGACTTTGTGTAAGAAAACTGCAGAGCATAAAACAACCATGGTTGTGCATAAACTACAATATGCAAAATTTAGGCATAAACTACATTATGTAAGTACTTGTGAACATACAACTTATGTAAGCATTCAGATAAACTGAAAAACAAAAGACAACCATAGTCATGCAAGTGTTACATTAAATCAAACTTCATGCTTATATATACTACAATAATGCAAGTACTCATGCCTTAACTGTAAAAAAATAAACAAATAACAAACAACCTAGAACAAACTATATTATGTAAGTACTTATGCAGGGAAGAGTATAGAATTGCTAAGACTCGGCCAAGTATGGGGTGGCCCTATGCCACGGGATCACTACGGTAGCCATGAAAGCCATCCTGTGTCACCCTGAAACGTCCTGGCCGACGGGGCTCTGGTGAAGTTACGACAGGCCTAGCAAGCCGGCGGTGGATTAAATACCGCCACAACAAATATAATGAGATAAATGGACTAATCAAATGGCATTGGGAATGAGGTGTCTGAGAAAAACTAAGAAATAAAATAAGGAATTAGCTCATACGAGGAAAAGTCGGCAAAGAACCGATTCTAAATTACACATAGACAGTAAATCAAATGGTTTGCACACTTAGAGAGAATGCCACCTTATGCTATACCATACAAGGCATATACCAAAAGAGGAGAGGGACGTAGAGCAAGAGGTAGATCAAGAACAAGATGGGAAGATAACATCAGAGAAACTCTACAGCAACATGATGTGTATATGGTCGAAGCAGCCAGAAGAACATGAAGCAGGACTTTATATCTCCCTCGACACCCAAAGTAGTTTAAAAAAAGGATGTAATGAAGAAGCAGACTCATGCATTACTACAGTACATTATGTAAGAATGAAGCCAATACTGCAGAATAAAGATAACGTGTCACAAAATTAAGTTTGTCCAACAAATGTCCCCAATATGAAAAGTCTGAAAAACTCTGCTTTACATGATATGCTTTTCTGTTCTTTTCAGATTTTTTTTACCAGCAAGGCAACGGAACGCTACCAGAAACGGTATAATTTAAGTATTGTGGACACCAACACTTTATTATCTAGTATCTCGTCTGGGGTACTCCCACAGAGTTTACATCAACAGATAAGCATGCACACAATAGAAATCCTTAACATGCTGATGAAAAGCCGACTGTATGGCACCTGACATATTCTTCTTTGTGTTCACCAGCTGTAAACTCTGGTGGACAGTTTTAGTTTCTTGCCCATTGCTGGACTTCATTCTTGTTCCAGAACCTGAGTTTTGCATGCTTATCCATTTTACAGATCTGGCCTTTTTGTAAGCACAGTTGGCTCGACTCTCGGCCAGATGCACTCTGACTTTGAAGAAAACACCCTTCAATAATCTCCTTGTATGACATGCTTTTGGGGGAGTGTGTCTATTCTTATTTTTCTCTAAAAGGTAGCCCCAGAACCCACATGGGAGAGCACCTGATGTGATACAGCAGTTCCCTCTGTGAGTTCCAGGGCCCCATTATGGGGAAAGGAATAATAGACCCACTGCCTCCCCAAAAACATGTCGTAAGACTCAACTAACTGGGAGCTTCCTTGGAAGTCGGAGTGCTTCTGCCTGAGAGGCAAGGAACCAACAGTCTGCATACAAATGAGGCAGATCTGTAAAATGAATGTGCATGCAAAAAAGAAAAAGATACATCAGAATATTCTAGGCAATAAATTAGGAATATGTTACTAGTATTCCTGTTATTTTAATTCATAGCAGGAAACATCTGAAAAATTTAAAAGATGACTGCCATATGTAACCGGCATAAAGGCACCATGTAACGAGCGTAAAGTTTCCATGTAATGAACATTGAGTGGCAGAAAAAATGCCTCTGATATTACAGCAAGAAATTATAGAACCTTTGTTCTCTTAGCCAGATAGAATAAAGAACCTTTGCGTCCAGATAGTTCTCACATTTTTGGCCTAATTAATCTTAAAGTGATAGTACCATTGTCACGTCAGGCATGCGGTGCAGGATCCATAATTTTTCAAGACCACTCTGTATCCAATGGGTGATGTCCCAAGGAATGCATCACATCCTAACTGGTTATTACCTAGCAGCCCGATCGGCCCCTGATGCTTACAGGTATTTAATTTACCACTGGCCAGTATAAAAACGCACACCTGGAGTTTTGAACAGTATTTCCTATTATTTGTGTTCAATTTCACTTATGCTGACGATTTGGTTTATTTTGAAACGTGGTTAAAAGCATAAACTATAGCAGATTTGTGAGCTTTACCAAGTTACTAAGTGTCTGTCAGAAAACAACATGGCCTGTGAGCAGATTTTTTCATGCATGCCAACAAGACTGATGGCTTAAGAAACCTCAAATTTTAATAAAACATATCCTTATCCGATTTATCTGAAGCTAGACAAAGAAAGTTGCAAAGCAGAGTTGTTTCAGTCATCTACAGAGTCAAACTTTGATGAGATATGAGCCTTGTGCAAAGTGTACAATGATAACAAAGTCGGCTGGCATAAAAAAAAAATATGATAGAAAACTGTGATTTTCTTCATTGTTAGTTAGGTCTAGTGTGATTACCTTATTATTTGGGAACATAGACTATAAAATTTCAGGCCAATTGCGGTTAGATAAAGTATTTTTGTGTGTGTGTGAAAATACTAAATGCTTTCTAAAGTAATTTTTTTTTAAACCAAAAAATGGTGCTCTGTTATTGTGTTTTAAAAGTTTCTCTGGAATGAGATTTAACCTAAAAAGTGTTTCTTTTTTATTTATAGCGGGAAACCAATCTGAATAATTTAAAAGATGACTGCCATATGTAACCGGCATAAAGGCACCATGTAACGAGCGTAAAGTTTCCATATAATGAACATTGAGTCGCAGAAAAAATGCCTCTGATAGAACAGCAAGAAATTATAGAACCTTTGTTCTCTTAGCCAGATATAATAAAGAACCTTTGTGTGCCAGATAGTTCTCACATAGATTAAGTGGTCCATGTTCATTTATGATTCCTTTTGGATATATTTTATTGAGTTTTCTTTGAGCATGATGATGATAAGTAGGTGAATTATTATTTAATTTTACCAATTTATCTGAACATGTCATATGTTTACTTACAAATATTTAACTGCTAACATAAATTTTTGTTGTAGCAGTATTCTAATATTATTCCTCAACAATCCCTCGTCATTTTGATGTATAATATGTGTATGTTGTGCGACAGCTGAATTAGTACTGTCTGTTTTAATGTGTTACATTTGTGACATTTCAAAATTGCATTTCCACCCCTTATGACTCTGATGCTAAACCCCTCAGGACTCAAAGAGTTAAGCCAGACATATTTACTTCCCAAGGCATTTCCAGGTAGTGATTTTAGACTTGGTATAATTTTGTTTTTTTTAACTTCCCTCAATTTGAATGCAAACTCACAAAATCAAATTCCAAAATACTGACAAATATTTGTCATGTTTAAAATATGTTGGCACCACAGGTACTGAAACTCTGCATTAGCTGCTGAAAATTAGGACAAAGCATTTATAAAGATGCCCCAAGAGCGCTAATGTCAGTTCTTAAGTCTTAACTCTATAAACGATCGGCGGGTAACAAAAGAGAACTGTTAGCCACACAAATAATCCTAATTTAATCGACCCTGCAGAGAGCCATTTTAATGTATTGTTATATATGTAAACATTTGCATAAATAATTTATTATACAAATATAATTTTTTTTTAATGAATTATATATAATATGTAAAAATAATATGCTATACTCACTGGATATAACTGCAATGGCTTTTACCATCTAGATATTTGCATTGTAATGCATACAAACAAATTTAAGTTTCAACAACACCGGATAAAGAGACCATATTAATAAACAGGTTTCTCATATTCACGATAAGAAGTGTAGAGTCCCACTATATATTTATAAATGCATTCACAACCTATTTAAAACCCAACTGGGAAATAATAAAGAAACAAGTTTTGCAGGTTTTAAATTCAAGTATTAACATCACAGTACACATGTGAATATAGAGATCACTCTGAAACAGTTTCTAGCACAAGAACAATAATCCTAAGGCATCTATATTTACCAAAGAAGTGCAAAAGTCCCACTGTACATATTTTAAAACGTATTCACAATCTATGTGAGACCCAAATAGGAAGTTAAACAGAAAACAGTGCTGAAGAACTTTAAATTAACTTCACAGCACTTTGTTTTTTCTATCACAAAGTCCTAAGAAATATCATACATTCCCCACCAGCAGTGTGACAGTCCCATTACAAAAATAAAATAACTATATTCACAACCTATGTACAACCCAGCTAGGAAATAATGCAGAAAAACAGTGTTGAGAAACTGTACCATCTAGGAAATTAACAAAAACAATTTTTTCCAGGGTCCCCAACTGGAGGAAGGAAAAAAGGGGTGCACTAGAACTGCATCAATCACAAATGTATAACTCTCTCACTTCTTTGAGATGAAAGCTTTTCCGTCCCCATTTTGTTGACTGACGTTGGTAAGGCAGCTGGATGCTGTTTGAAGGTCACGTATGTGTACAAGAGACTTCCACACACACTGAAACAAAGCATAAGCTTAACATTACAACTGTGTCAAGTTAATAATTCCCACATACACTGAAACAAAGCATAAGCTTAACATTACAACTGTGTCAAGTTAATAATTCCCACATACACTGAAACAAAGCATACATTTAACACCACAATTATGTGAAGTCAAAACTCCCATATACACTGAAAAATGCATACATTTAACATTACAACTGGGACAAGTTGAAACTTTCCACATACACTGAAACAAAGCATACATTTAATAGTACAACTGTGTCACATAAAAACTCCCACACACACTGAAACAAAGCAGACATGTAACATTACAAGTGTGTTATAAAAAAAAACTTTTTTTTACACCCACCCATATAGTGCCAGACCTACATTTTTTTTAGGCCTCAATTGGATAGGTAACTGATATTGAGCCAGCAACCTTTACTTCCCATGAAATTACCTGTTATTTTTAGGTAACCTGGGAGCCAAGGTCAGTTCTGAAAAAAAAATCAAGCTTGATGCAGATTTGAACCCTAGTCCTTTGAGCCGACAGGCAAGTGTGAAATAAATCTTCCTCTTTTTCGTTTGTATAAGTAACCCAACTGCGCTGTGCTTGTTCACAGCAAATCAGCGAAACATCCGATTTTATCAAGCGTCTGTTGACCCATTTAACTTCCCAGGGCAAAAATAAATGAGATACAGTGTAAACAAAGGCCGAATTTGTTTCATTAATAGCAGCTGTTTAAACTTCTTATGAACAAAGAAGGCACAAACAGCAGATTACCCAACAGATGGATGCTACAGAATTAAACCCCTCGCTTCACTGGAACTTGTTTAGTTCTCTTCTTAAAATCAACAAAAGTTATTGTCATACAAGTGAATTCCTTGTGTGGATTCCAAGGCCCCTTTGGGGGGGGGGGGGGTGGGGGGGGGGGGGTATACACCCTCTGCCTTCCTAGCAAGCCTGTCTGTCATAAAGGGCAACCTTTTAGGGATTTTTTTTAAAAATGTCAGAGCGTATCTTCCTCAGCAGCGAGGATCCAACAATCTGCAATCAAGCAAGCCAGATCTGTAAAAGTCATGTGCATGCAAAATTCAAGACTGAAGCCCAGAAGACCAACCAGAACTTTCTGCTAGAACAGCCAGTGAACACTTAGAAGAAGAAGATACAATTTAATTACCTCTATTCTGGGCAGAAATAAATTCATGAAATACTGCTCGCAATCAGCGGTGTCTCTTTACTGTTTTATCTCTTTCAGTCCCATGTTGTTATTATTCCAACACCCTAAAGTTTTTGTACTTTATAGCAATAGTTTTTTTTTTTTTTAAGTCTTACGGTGGTGAAAAATACAACTTTGGGAAAGAAGCAGTAATAATGTTGTATTTATTGACTTCTTTGAGGTAAAGGTGTACCAATGTGAAAAATCTCAATTTTTTTTTTAACTATTTGTTTGTGACTTGGGGGGACCATATGATATCACAGTGGTTAGCAGACTTGCCTCTTTGTTCAGTGATCCTAGGTTATAGCCCCCCTGAATTTAAAGAAAAAACATACACCTAGACTCTAAATGTCTTCTTATTATTTTTTTTAAGATTTCTATGAGCAAAAGGGTTAAGAACACTTATACAAATGGTTGTTTTGATGAAATAATCTTAAGACAAATGTTGATTAAAAAAACTTTGACAAATGGTTGTTTTGATGAAACAAATTTAGACAAATGTTGATTAAAAAAACTTTGACAAATGGTTGTTTTGATGAAACAAATTTAGACAAATGGTTGTTCTGATGACACAAACAAATATTTATATCAAAGAAACAGACTTTCATAAGCTATTTAAAAGAAGCAAACTTAGAGAAATGGTTATTTCACAGTCACAAATTGCTATTTCAAAACACACACAAAATATTTTAAAGAAACAAACTTACCTAATATTAATACCTATAAAGTTTGTTAAAGAAAATACATAGTCTCCTCCTAAAAACATTCCTAGATATGTCACTAGTAGATTCTGAAGAAAAAAAAAAGTATAAACAGTTAACAAAAATGTGATTTCTATACTGTAAATCAATTAATCGTAGTTCTAATTTTATGGCAAACGAGTCACCTAATAATGGCTTCATTCCTGTGCTAGCAAAAACCATAAAGAATCCATTGTGAAAAGAAAAAGAACAGACTGCAGTCTCAACACAGCCAATAGCTGGCTGCTGAAGATGAGGACAGAGCATACATGGGAATGCTCCGAGTGCTGTGATGTCAATTCTAGACTCAACTTAACTCAACTCACAGCCAATAGCAAACACATGTATTAAATGCATAAGGCAGCTTCAAAAGTGCCAGCACAGTCCATTTCGAGAATTGCAGTTCATCGCCGACGCAAGCAGCAGTTACAACAAACCTGAGACGCATGCAGATGCACTATCACATAAGACACTGCCAGTTCTGTGGTAATAGGCTGCTTGCCATTTTCTGCATCTACAGGTCAGTAGATGAGCCACCTTGGACACAGTAAAAAAGAATTCCACATAAACTGTTGCGCCATGCTCTCAACTCGGTAGATGGGTGACAGAACTATTTACTTTCAGTCCATCTATGAGGGAAATTCAGCGAACCATAGCCGGGAGCCAAAAAATTAATGAAGAGTAAACAATCACCTTACCTATCCACTATATCAGACAGACTATACTGTGAAAGAACATCACAAATCAGTGTGTGAGAAAACATCACAAATCAGTGTCTTGGAGGCCATTCTAAATCAGTATGTGAGAGAACTACAGAAATTAGTGTGTGAGAGAACATCACAAATCAGTGTGTAAGAGAACATCAAAAATCAGTGTGCGAGAGAACATCACAAATCAGTATGTGAGAGAACATCACAAATCAGTTTGTAAGAGACCATTCTAAATTACTGTGTGAGAGTATATCACAATTCAGTGTTTGTAAGAACATCACAAATCAGTGTGTGAGAGAACATCATGAATCAGTTTGTGAGAGTACATCACAAATCAGTGTGTGAGAGAACATCACAAATCGTCTTGGAGACCATTCTAAATCAGTATGTGAGAGAACATCAGTGTGTGAAAGTACATCACAAATCAGTGTGTGAAAGAACAATACATATCAGTGTGTGAGAGAACATCACAAATCAGTGTGTGAGAGAACATCACAAATCAGTGTGTGAGAGAACATCACAAATCAGTGTGTGAGAGCAGTAAAAAACAGTCTGTGAGAGAACATCACAAATCAGTGTGTTAGAGAACCTCACACATCAGTGTGTGAGAGCAGCACAAATCAGTGTGTGAAAAAACATCACACAGAGTGTGACAGAACATCTCAAATCAGTGTGTGAGAGAACATCACACATCAGTGTGTGAGAGAACATCACACACCAATGTGCCATTCTTCTCTGTGTGTTTCTTTTTTATGTATATGTGTCAGTGTGTATGTATGAGTGTGTGTGTGTGTAGACATCTGTGTGTGTAGCAGATACATATAGTTAAATTATTTGTGTGTGTGTGTGTGTGTATTATATATTTTTGAGTGTGTATATCTGAATGTTTGAATTCACCATTCATGATTTTGTGTATTTTTACTTCATACACACAGTGTGTATATTGTTATATCTTAACATGCTTGATAAATATAACTGCAGTATGAAAGATGAGTGTCTGGAAGAGCTGAATGCAATTTCAGGCCTGGGTGCCTAATTTGTGACCCTCTGAAGACAAAGTCTGTTCATTCGTTGGTTTGTTCGATCATCAACGGCTTACCTTGAGCACTCCAACAATTGTTGTTGTAAGAGCAGAGTTGCAGGCTGTGCACATGATTATTGAGTAGTTCAGTATAAAACCCATCAAACACGACAGCAGGAACTGGAACAAAAACACAGGGTCCGCCCACTGTTCAAACATGTAGGCCTGTGGAAGAAACATTCACCATTATGGCCGTGTTACTGAACTTCTGAATATACAAGGTGTTCCATAAGTTTCCCTACAGATGGAAAATGAAAAACATTTTTAAATAATATGCTCTACAAGACTGCCACTGTTTTTGAACACTATTTTGGATACAAGACCTCCACTGCTGAAGGACAGCTGGAGTAGGAATAACAGATTACGCCATCCCAACATGGGATGCAATTTTTCATCATTTGAAAGCCCCAGCTCTGCTGGTGACGGGGGACTTGTGCCCAGGGTATTATCATCTGAACAGTGGTTCTCTGTGTCCCCTGGTGTTTATCCCTTGTTGTGCGGTCCTGGTGGGGTGGAACATTAGTCAGTCACAGCTGGAGTTATGCTTGTAATGGCGTTGGTCGATGAAAACGTTTGGTACACCATATGCAGGTGTGTCAGCTGTAGAAGCACAGTAGCTAGATGCTCATCTGCTGTTTCCAATCCCCGTTTCCCCGTGTGGGTTCCGGGGCCCCATTGTGGGAAAAACAAGAATAGACCCACTTCCTCCCCAACAAGCATGTTGTGAGAGTCGACTAACTGGGGGGTTCCCTTCAAAGTCATTGTGCATCTGCCTGAGAAGCCAGGAACTAACAATCTGTATAGAAACAAGTCAGATCTGTAAAACAGATGTACATGCAACACTCAGATTCTGGAACAAGTCTAAAGTCCCAAAGTGGGTGAACAACCAGAACTGTCCGCCAGAATCCACAACCAGTGGATGCTAAGAAGAAGAAATCCCTATTGAGTTGACTTTTTTTTTTTTTTTTAAATAACTGACCTTGGCTCCCAGGCCAATCCAGCCTAAAATGGTTACTAGGAAATATCCCATAAATACATCCTCTATGGTAAACCAAGATGGGTGGAAGATGCTGAGGTCAGTCTCTACTATGATCATGATGATACAGGTACTGAGCCGGATACATCAGAACAGGATGCCATGAACGGTGTTGCATGGAGAATGGAAATCAGGAAGGGAATAAGAAGGGATACAGCATAAAATGACTGCAGACAGGTTAGAGACTGGAGATCAGAGAACAGGTACACTAAATACATGTGATGGCAATAATGGACCTGAAATCCCTTGCTCTAATTGTGAAAGACATTTCTCAATGTGTGCAGGTCTTGCTAGTCACACTCCCCATTGCCACTGGCTGTGGTTTATATGCCTCCATATAGCACAATATAATACTATCATCAGGAAAGACAGAAAGGTGCCAAGGTGCCAATTATGAGGTTAACCTGGAAACCTGTTTTTATTTTGTTTTTTTTTTAAATTAAAACAACAACTGGGATACAAACACACAATCACAAAATCAAAATGCAAGTACGCTAGCTACCATACTACTACAGCTCCACTGAATTAGTACTTTTTTTTAAAAATAAAGGTTCTATATGTTTATGCATTTTGGGCATATGGTATTGGTCTCAATTTTTTGTTAGTAATTTTATAATCAGGGCAATATTTATTTCAACTGAGTGTAAAATGTGATTTCAATATAGCTTACCTCTATCAATTCTCCACTGTAAATTGTCAGAATTAGAACTGGCAAAAACATTATGAGCGAGTTGTAGTACAACAGCCCATATTTTCCAAGGCTCTGAGGAAATGTTAGGCATACTCATTCAGATTTTTAATGATTAACAGAAACTAAAAAACACAAAAAATTACTACCATTATTACAATCAACTGTATGTTAACAGGCTTACATTAACATTTCTAGTAAAACCAATATACCATAAATAAGGTACCAAATAAACAAAGTGTCAACAGAACAAGTGAAATTAATTACAAAAAAAAAGCTAACAGTATTTAGCAACGCAGTAGATGTACAATGTTGTACTGAAAATGGAGGAGGCAAAGGAGATGTGGAGGAAGAGACTGCTTTTGAGCTAATTTTTTTTTTTTAAAGTGCAAGAACTAAAAAAAATACAAACAGGAGGATCTGTTAAAGAGAAGATGTGCAGAAATGAGGCTTTTGCATCAACCAAAGTCTTTATCAACAAAAAACAAACAAATAAAATTAGCTAGCTTCAAAATTAAAAGAGCAGATTTGGAAGCCAAAAAATGACCTTGGCTCCCAGGTAGACCCAGTCTAAAATGGGTACCAGGAAATGTTCTAAGAAGTAAAGGTGATTAATGTGATGCTGGTCACATTGCCCATCTAGTGCTGATTGGCCTATTTTTTTTTTAAACAGTCTAGCATCATATGCCCTCCTGGCGTGCAAATGGTCTTTTACTAACAAAAAATTAAACAAAACGACCGCCCAGAAACATAATTCAATTGATGAAAAATTGAAAACAACACTTTAAATTTGGGAAATGCAAATGTAGAAAAGATGGATAGGAACTGGTAAAAAAACAAATAACATACATATTTAAAATGCCCAACATGCTTAATGTGTGGAAATATATCTTTTACTTATTTTAGTTTGGCCAATCTGGGTGACCAGAACAATTTTTTTTAAAAACAATTTTTATCTCAATTGGGACTGCAGTACACCAGGCATGTGTGCTAGGCAAAGAATTTGCACTACTGCAGCAACTAACAGTAATCTTACCAACCCCCCCCCCCCCCCCCCCCCCCCCCCCCCAAAAAAAAATGGAATTGTTTCATCCACAATTGTAAAAAAAAAAAAATTCCTAATCTTCCTAACAGTTCCAGTTTCTGTTGAGTTAAAAAAAAAAATTTTAGTGACCATTTACCATGGAAAATCTTTAATGTCAGGAAAATTCAATAGTTCAATTATAAAAGTCCATGATAGTTTATTATTGTCAGGAAAATTCAATAGATCCATTATAAAAACCCATGAAAGTTTTTTACTATCAGGACAATTCTGTGTAAATCTCAAGAAAAGTCTTTACCTTGGCTTCTAGCTTCTGTTTAGTGTACACTCCATTAGCTGCTGTTGCCACATCATTTAGTAAGATGAATGTATAACCCAGCAAATCAAACGATAGATCGGTTCTAAGGAAAACATAAACATAATTCTAATGGGAGTGTTTTTTTACAGGCATGTCTGAAAGGTGTCATCCTTTAGGTGACACACAGCCTAACATAACTCATCATCATCATCATCATCAGAAAAGAATTAGAGACTAAGAGGACACGGTAGACCAGCATTTCCCAATTTTTAGTCTTTTTCTTCTTCGCACTGTTAGAAGCTGACAGTCCACATTCTTTAAGTACAAGCTTCTGACTATAGGAAAAGTAGAGTAAATCGTTACAGAAAAGCTGAAGGGGAAGAAAGTCAAGGGGAAGCCCAAAAATATGTTTATTAGTTTGGCTTCATGGCATGGATGAACATCGTTATCACAAATTACAGGCAGTACACGAGACAGAGGCTATGGACACATATGATGACCAATAACATACAGCAGGCAGCATAACAAGAACTAATTTTATCAAGCTGAATCAACCACAGAATCATACTAGTTTGAAAAAAATTTACTGCCACTGGTGGACTCTGTATCTCAGCCTTTCTTCTTGCCAGGTCAGCAAGGTTATAATCACTGAGTTGAGTTGAGTCAAGAACTGACATCACAGCACTCAGGGCATTCCCATGCATGCTCTATCCTCATCTTCAGCAGCCAGTGCAGAGTTCCAATAATGCTGGTACCGGTCACAATCTGGTTATATGTCCGTCTTGCCTTTCCTCTAAGCGTAGTGAGCCGGCGGTCATAATCACTACAACACTACAAAATCAAAGTCTGAATAATTTAAACAGAAACTAAAATTAGATTTGTCAACAACAACAAAAACAAAATCAAGCATAAAACAGAAAAACTACAGGGTACCATTTTTTTGGGGGGTCTATTCACCTGTATCTTTAACATATTTTCACATTTGAACTTAACACTGGATATGTGAAAATATATCAAATAATGTAAATAGCCATGTGTAAGCTGCATTTTCAGGCCTACAATTTTTCAAAACCTAGAGGTCAATTTATATGACATACACAGTATGCGTAGTGTAGGGTTGGGCTTGAAGTTGGCTACCTCATCCTGTAAAAAACAAAAACCAACCAACCATGGAAAAGTCAGAGCTTTGGGAAAGAATAAAACAAGTTCCAGTGGACTAAGAGGTGAAGAAAAGGCGCTGAGGCTAGACAGAACACATGCTGAGAAAACCTGAGAACAATATAATTAAAGTGTCTTTGCACCGGAACCCACAGAGGCACAGAAATAAAGGAAGACCAAAACAAACATGGAGACAGGAGCTAGAAAGTGAAGTTAAAAAGATGGGGAGGACATGGAGAGACCTGCATGCGATAGTGAAGAAAAGAACGACTTGGTGTGAGTTGGTTCCATTGGGGGGTTAGAAAGTCAGAAGAAGAAGAAGAAGGTAGAGACCTGTCAGCTGGGGCTCAGGTATTGCAAATGCAGTCTGTAACTCTGACACATCCGGTTCGTTTGCAGCTGCAGACAATTGAGCAGCTGACCACTTTGAGTTGATTTTGACATTGACAGCAGACCATTCAGAAAGCAACGGCAAATTACTGAGTGTAAAACTGTCTAGAAAAATCAAAAACAGCCAACACGAACAAATGCTGGAGTTGGTTCTGCAACATCCCATAAAGGATATGCTACTAACTTTCGAGCTATAGGTCTAACTCAGAATCCTGAACTACAAATCTTGAGGTCGACCTGCATGCTGCAATATAGGATATGCAATGGCAACTCTCTTCTTCACGGAAACAACTTGGGTACACATCACGAACTTGCCCACAACACTCCCAGCATGAGATTTTGTGTCGACTCTCATTCATGCTGTCCCCTGTTCCCACAGGCTGCTGTATGTTCTAGGGGTGTTATCACGCGAGTTCCTTTGATGCAAAAAAGGCTGCCGTTTGTTTGAGGCCCGACACGACAAACGTCAGCAGCTCTCTCTCGTGGCAGCCGACATTGGGCGAAAGGGGTCTTTTTTTATTTTATTTTTTTTGCATGGCAAAGTGTTCAACCGGCGGCTCACAGCGTGGAAATAGAACTTTCTGGCCGCACCTCAAAGAGTAAAATACAGACTGCTTAAAAATGACAAAATATAAATGAAAATTCTGGCCACCATAGCAACAAATATATAATGCTTGAAGCGTTGAAAGTAATAAAACATGAAGGAAAATAACATGACACCCCTACAACATAGTACAGCTTTTGGCAAATCTCATAAGATACTTCACAAGACGTGATGAGGGCAAGTTTGTGATATGTACCGCAACTTATAGTCAGCATCATTACTCACCCTGCAGCAATAACAGCCCCCAGAATCATGAGATAGACTGACATCTGCACAAACCAAGATGCTCTCACACTGGAAATTACACAAATAGGATCACAGTCAGCATCACAGATTTATCAAGTCTTTTCTTTCTTTATTCTTTCTTTTGAGTCTGTTCTTCATTTTCTTTGCGGGCCCCAGCTGTATAAACTTTAGTAGAAAGTTCTGGTTCTCCATCCACATCTAGAGTTTAGTCTTGTTCCAGAAACTGAGTGTTGCAGGCAACATCGTTTCCCAGTTATGGCTTATCTGTATGCAGACTGTTTGTTCCTTGCCTCTTAGGCAGATGTACTCTAACTTCAAGGGAAGCACTGAATTAGTTGACTCATACAACTTGCCTTTTGGGGAGGCAGTGGGTCTATTCTTGTTTTCCCCATAATGGAGCCCCAGAAGAAACAAGGGAATGTCCATCATTAAAATGGTGGTTTGGCACACAGTGTTGTGATTTGCAGCTAGGCTGCGATATCTACACCTTTCAACGAAAACACATCCAATTTCATCAAATCCAGAATTAGTTTATTTATACCATACTTTTTGGGGTGAAAAAGGGGGGGGGGGATGGGCATGAGTCTATTTTTATCCTAACAACCCCCTCCTCCCACAAACAAAAAATAGTCTCAGAAACACCCAAGCAGAACTCAAAGAGTTAATTAAATACAAATTACCAACAACAATAAGAGTTTAAACAGTGTAAGAAACTTGTCAGAAAAGTTTGGTGACATGGCTTACTGATATGTAACCCTTCCATCTCGATTACTCACTTTGTTCAAGCAATTTTAAGTAATTTTCTGTAAAATATCTCTGTGGCCTAGACATTTGAGTGTGTGTGTGTGTGTGTGTGTGTGTGTGTGTGTGTGTGTGTGTGTGTGTGTGTGGAAAAACTGTTATTAACTGTCCAGGATTGTTTAGTTTGGCTACATAGTGACAGAGAGAATGAAATGGAAGCACCAAGAGGCAGAGGAAGACCTAGGAGATAATGGACCAAAGGAGTGGCTGACAGCCAAAGATTTCAAATCACAGCATACCAAGAAACCGAGGTGCCCTGGCTTAGCTACGAGTCTTCTGTCGAACAGACACCTAGCAATACGCAACAGACACTGACAAAAGAATAATAAGCCTTTGATTCACAGTTTTACGTTTAAACCGCTCAACTGTGGCATGCATGAATTCTTTTTCTAATTTCTAATGACAGACATTTACTGCACAAGACGTTCTTCATTTTATAAAAAAAAGTTTTTGTCTGTCCTATTCAGTTCTTTATCTCTGTGATACATCTTCCATCTGATGTGCCTAAATACTTAAAACTTCTATATTGTTTCAAAAAAATGCTTTGGACTTCAACTATACATTTAGGCACTTAGAGGGGAGGAAGGTGGGGGAGGAAGGTGAGGGAGAGAACTGACACAAGCACTCACACACATCATCATCATTATGTATCAGGTCCTTTGCAGAACGTCGCTCTCATCATGGTCTGCCTGAAAGAAACTGTCTCTTGCCAGCTCTCCCGCCTCATGCACTTTCATACTCAAGGAGTCACCTTTATCCTGTTCCCGTGTTGGTCGGCCCCTGCCCCTCCTTCCTGGTACCATGCCTTCTGCTATAATTTTTCCCAATCTGTCGTGGCGCTTGATATGACCAAAATATTTCAGCTTCCGAGACAGGATGCTGTTTATTAGCCAATCTTCCTTGATGTTCAGATCTTTCAAGATGTCAGTATTTCTCATCTTTTTCGTCCAAGATATTCTGAGAATCTTTCTTTAGCATTTCAGTTCAAAAGCCTCTATTCTCTTTCTTAAGGACTGTGAGATAGTCCATGACTCTCATGCGTATGTTGCTTCAGGGAGGATGCAAGCTCTCACAATTATAATTTTGATTTCCCTGCTGGTGCTTAACCTAAGACTTTTTAGGCTGTTTAACTTAAGGCCATCATCACAACTACCCTTACTTGCTCTGCCATCCTTCTCTTACCCAGTTCATGTTTGTGATCAGCCTGGCCTAGTTGCCTCACCATCAGATCTCTGAGTTTCATTTTTGGCTTCCAAGATGAGTTTCTTGGGATAGTAATGTGGCAGTTTCCCATTGCTTTCCACAACTCACACACACCAAATAATTAGACCAAACATGTTTAAGCTTTCTGATAAAACTTAACTTCTACAAATACTTACTTTAATATGTAGTATTCTGCAATCATGGTAAACAATATTGAAAACCTGCGCAATACTGTAAACATGGGAAGACTGCAAGAAAAAGAAATTATATTGTTTATTTAAAAATGTGAGGCTCAAAAAATTTTTTTTGTTCAGCCACATTTTCTTTAACTTGCTGGTGAACTTTTAAAAGTAACTGGACCTATGATTAAACTGCCAACAGAGTATCTTCAACTTTTTCTTTGCGTTCAGTTTTGTATGCTCAGATCAGACCATAAGGTCTTATCAACTCTCATGTCAGTAGCAGTTCTTTCAAGGTTCCCCATAGCTTGCTCTGCACACTCTGCTCTTGAGGCCAGGTGTCTTTTTGAAGTTGTAGGTAGAGTGGGCAGGTCTGCAGAATGTGCTCAGGTGTTTGTGGTCCTGTTTGACAGGCACACTGTGGGGACTGTACAATCTTTATTTTATGCATGTGGTAGTTGAGCCTGCAGTGCCCTGTAAGTAGATGGACAATTTGTGTATGTTGCTTTCTGTTGAGTCTGCTGATGGGGTCTTGTGGATGTTTACTGCTAGTTTGTTCTCTCCACAATTATTTGTATTTTCCTTTGATAAGTGTTCTGATTTCTGGTGATGACAATCAAACAGAGTATGATACAGCAGTATCTGGTATGTCCGCACTATCCTTACAAACAAGCTTGGCGGACCTGAGTTACATAATTAATGCTTATGTCTTGTGCCTTTGTTAGAGTTTCCCCCAATGAACCAAATGGCACTCTGAAGTCATTTTTAATGCTGAGATGTTGGCTAGCAATGGTCTAGGTGGAATCCCGCAGCTCCAATGAACATCCAACTTACTTCAGGGGTGAGGTGACGCAAATTATGGCACTACAGAATACATAAACATTCCTAGGTGCAACTTGGCCTGACTTCCCAACTACTATTAAGCCCCCAGACTAGATAGTACTCCTATGCTAGTCATCATCGATTAGCAGGTCCTTTACAGAATGTCGCTCTTGTCATGGTACGCTTGAAAGTCTTTCTCTCTCCACTTATTCAAGTAAAAAGTAAAGAACCCGTTTCATACCTGTAGCACATGAAGCATATGACGCTAGACAAATTTTCATACACAAATTGATCATGCCAGCCACCTTTTCTTCCCAGGACTTTACTTGGTACCCATTTAAGGCTAGGCCGACCTGGCAGTCGGAAAAAAAATCCGACTTGATGCGGATTCAAACCCAAGACCTTTGGACCAGAGGAGAAGTATATACCACTGTGGTCCCCAACTAACTGCTAAAACAGCTTTTCTCTACTACAACACTATATTGTTCACTTAAATCTTACTATAATCTGCTGTCATCAAAATGACACAATATCTCTGTGATCCCTTAAGCATTCAATTATGGACACAACACTCTGCACCAATACACCATAAACCAGCTTGTTCAGGCTACAAAGGAGCTTATCTTAAATAATCCTACAAGGCTTAACACAACAATGGAATGATGGAACAGTTTTCAGCAAAGATAAATGTTGCCAGGTTGCAAGACTTGAATGGTGTTCTGTTCTTCATTTGTTTAAAGTTATCTGAGAAATTAATGGGACCGTCGAACTGAAAATAAACAACATATACAAAGAGCAGGTTGTGTTGATCTTATCTAGGTGACGGATAAGGTGATGAGGTATGAAGTATTTGAGTACATTTTACATATGAGAGAGACAGACTTCCTTTTATGTTATCACAATCGACATCTTTGCACATTGAGCACTGTCATGTATGCTCAGTCCTGACTGATATAATTTCCAGTGCATATTTTTCCCTTTCAAATTCAAGTCTTTTTGGTCCATGCTTTACAGACATAGGTGACAGCGATGAAGTCTAGTACTCTGACAAACCTTACTTTGGTTTTACATGAGATTTTTTAAATGTCAGCCAGTACATATCTTGATAGAGAAAATGAGGTGGTCAGTTTTAGTTTGAAGTCCAGAGGATCGACTTTACTGCACCAGGTTTTATCCCAAAGGCTCAGTCTTTCGCTCTGCGAAGACAACTGAAACATAGCAAGAATTCTGTAGTTCTAGCGATGATCCCCAAGGATACCTGTAAAAACTGCAATCATCAACCAAATGAATCAGCCCAGGAAATGAAGCCACAACCTTCAGAGTGGGAGCCAACGGCTCAAACACTTTACCTCAGAGACTCCCAGAGGTGGTAAATGTCACAGCTCACGTTTGTGGTTATGACCATAATACAGAGCATGAGGCTTGTTTATCTGGAAAAGGTGCGGCGGATTGGTGGGTAAGGTTGGGGGAAAGAGGGGGGGGGGGGGGGGGGCTCCATACTGAGATCATGTAACCAAAAACCAACCTTACATTACAACAATGATGTGACATTTGGGATTTCTTTTCAGGTTCAAGGTTCCTGATGGTCAGTGGACTCAAGCCTTATAGGGTTAAGGTAGGTGTTTTTACAAATGAGGTGTGGTGTGCGTATATTGCGTACCTTAGCTTCTTGGTGCCTCCAAGACCAAATAACAAATTTCCTATGTACACAAGTGGTAATGGCCATACCTATTGATAGAGAGAATGCAAATTCAGACATGAAACAAAAGGCAACTTTCCACATTTATTAAAAGCAGGGCTGTACCGAATAGTGATTTTCACTATTTGGCCGAATACGAATAAAGGGACCAACTATTCGGCTGAATAGGAATAAGAATATTTTATAGTGTATAAAATAAATCTTTTAAAAAAACCACACACGCGCGCGCACGCACACACACATATATATATATTCATAATGTCAAATGTACATTGAACTTTTTCTTCACATAAAGTAGCACAAAATAGTCATCTTCTTTCCATAGCATTCTGAGCCCTTGAGGTTTACTGCTGCCGATATCACTTGTTTCCATTCATCTCTCTGGCTGGCCTTCTCTTCACAATTTGTGACACCAGTTGTTTGCAGGTTTAGCTGGACATGATCTCTCAAACTTCTTTTTTGTCTGTCTTGTGGTCTACGCTCATTCCTCTCTCAGGTGTATACAGTGTTACTTCTCTGTGTCTTCTGACATTTTTTCAACATGCTCCAACCATTTTAGTCTGTTAGTTCTCATGATGCCACTGATCAATGGTGATTTAAACAGATTATGTGTTAAGTTGTTGCTTCTCATTCTCCATTCCCCGCTGTTAGCATGTTTTATTGGTCCAAAGATTTGTCGTAAGACTGTTTTCGAAAGCCTGAAATAAGGCCTAATCTTTTTTTTTATTTTTGCTTCAAGTTTCAGAGCCATATAAAGCGACTGGTCTTATCAACATTTTATATATTTTGATCTTGATGTTGCGAGACAGACACTTTGACTTTAACAGATGTTGAAGGGCATAGTATACTTTATTTCTAGATTGTATTTCTTCTCTCAGCATGTTGGAGAAGTTGAAGTTTGCACACAATTACTTATAGGTTTCCGTTCGTTTGATTTTCATATTATCGATTTGGATGTGGCCGTTTATATTCTTTCCATGTCTAGTTAGTATTTGTACAGAATAGTAAACATTTAAAAACATTTTATGTTTTGCATCCTTCAGTCAGTCAATGGTAACTAATAACTAGTAATGAAAGAATCCTAAGTTTTATAACAAGTAACTAAACTTGGAAGTTGTCAGTGGCAGCTTAGTAAATGCATGAAAGCTGCATTAGCTTTCAACAAAACCAAATTTCCATGTTGTCAGTATTAAGGCAGTGTATGCAGAAGCGGGTGTATACTATTTGTATTCGGCTCGACCGCAACTATTTGGCCGAATACCGAATAGTCAATAGGTATACTATTCGACCCCGAAGCGAATATACGGTACAGCCCTAATTAAAAGTCTCTCTCTACTCTCTCTTTCTCTTCCACTCGCTCTTCCTCCATGTTCATCCTTAGCAGACTATGATATTGGGGGGGGGGGGTGGTGGGGGGGGGGGTTCGATTGTCAGGAACAAAAAGAATAGACCCCCTGCCCCTAAACAAGCATGTCATATGAGTCAACCAATTAGGGATGTTCCCTTCGAAGCCAAGAGGGCATTTGCCTGAGAGTTAAGGAACGAACAGTCTGCATTAAAAAAAAGCCAGATCTGTAAAATTCATGTGCACACAAAACAAGTACTGGAACGAGGCTAAAATCCAGAAGTGGATGAACAGCCAGAACTTTCCACCAGAGTTTACAGCTGTTGAATGCAAAGAAGACAAAGGTATGGGGATAAGTGGGTAGGGGATATGTGACAAGGTTATCACAGCATCTAGGTTACCTAGGAAATGTTGTGCCATCAATGTCCACTTCTATCTCACAGTACTATATATTGTCCAATTCACACAACAGCACTACAAAATCAATGTCCAATCATACACAGGTCTATTCAGCCACCTTCAAACTGGAACACCAACACTAAGCCAGGTCTAACACTGTCTGTCTAGGGATGACGGTTCTCACAGAAAAATGAGTATGTAAGTAACACAGGTCCACAAAGGCTACAGTCATAACTATCAACACTGGCTAACAAAGCTGTAATAAACCATTCAAAGTAATCTGTACTAGGTAATCAGCCTAGTTCATTAATGAATGCACACATTACGACGCTGAATTGGTGATTAATGAATATAAGTTGTCTGCTAATTTCTGCCAAGTACACACACCGGCAGTCTCAAAAGGCGGTACCTGGCCTTAACTTGAGGACAGTCCATAAACAAAGATACAGAGAGTTATGTACCCTCTCTTGGGGGTCACCTACAACTTATAGCAGGGCAATTCAACTAAGTTTAATTAGGGGCAAAACTTTTGAAAATAGGGATCGTCGCTGGCCAGAGGCCCGAGTTACAACACAGGAAGACCATTAATATAATACAAATACTAATGATCCACAAGCTATAAGCTAGGCCTCCAGCTATAAAGGACTCATGGGCCACTATCTGGCCCGTGGAGGCCTAGCAAATAACCTATGGGTCACCTGTTGAATAGCCCTGGACTTAGTATTCTGGCGCTTCCATGCACCTCCTGGAGCCCTCAAACACTACCTTGGGCACACCTGTATACTAGCGTGAGTGACACACACAACACAGAGCATACACAAAAACTCAGACTGGAAAGTAAGACATTATATGTTAAATATACAACATTATACTCACTTTTCTGACAGTGTCCCATGATAAATCAGGAAAGGTTATCAGTCTCAACATTTTTGCAATGTATAATACAACGATACCTGAAATAATCTGAAAAAATTTGCCATATATGAAAGTAGTTTCTTATACTTATAATAAATGTAACCAAGGTTTATCAATCACATAATTTTTGGGAAGTGAACAGCATTCTTACTGGCTGTCTTTAGCAATTGTTAGGGAAGTGTGTTATGTTATTACAATCACCATCTTTGCATATTGGGCATTTCCATGTGGACTCAGTCCTCCAATGCAGCAGCCACTCCTACTGATTGTTCCCATGAGAAGTTGGTTATAGTATCTCCTGTCTTTACCACGAAGACTGCATAGACTTCAACAAGCTAAACTCCTCGGTCATTCAATCATGTTAGCATCACAGATTCATAATTATCCCCCCAACCTTGTCCGTACGGCGCTGACGATATAAGCTCTGTCCATGCTTCTTCCCATTTGCATTGGTGCATTACTTGCCTTGCCAGAGCTAGGCAGTTCGCGCGTCCATGCTGAGATACGATGCATCTACAGGAAAGAAGGAGGAGAGGGGAGTATGGTAGAAGAAGACACAACAGACATGCTGGGGCACACAACAAACCAATCCAAGTCAGAGCTTCTGGGCAAGAGTCATTTCAGCATATTAGGCTGGAACTGTTGAAGTGAGAGATAGTGAGGCCCAGTCATTAGAGAGAGAGAGACTAGGAGAGAGAGAGAGAGACTAGGAGAGAGAGGGTGAGACAGAGGGAGGGAGGGAGGGAGAGGAGAGGGGGACAGAGTGAGAGGGAGAGAGCAAGTGAGTGAGAGAGAGTGAGTGAGAGAGAGGGTGAGAGAGAAAGAGGAAGGGAGAGGGGGAGAGGGAGGGATGGGGAAAGAGAGGGAGGTAGTGAGTGAGTGAGAGTGAGAGAGACTTGAGTGAGTGAGAAAGAGTGAGTGAAAGAGAGTGAGAGATAGAGTGAGAGAGAGACAGTGAGATAGAGTGAGAGAGAGAGAGAGAGAGATAGAGATAGAGAGTGAGATATAGAGAAAGAGTGAGTGAATGAGTGAGAGAGAGAGACAGTGAGACAGAGTGAGAGAGAGAGACAGTGAGACAGAGAGTGAATAAGTGTGGGGGGGATGGGGGTGGGGGGTCAGAGACATAAAGAGAGAACAACAGCAACAACAACAAACCGAAAAGAGAATTAGAGAATGAGAAAAATATGGGTAGGACAAGGGGTGAGCTGCATGTGATGGCAATGGATCAGGCAAATGGCTCTGATTATTCTCCATTGGTGGGTAAAGGGCAGAAGAAGAAGAGGAACAAGGCCAACATGAAAGGAAGAGGAAAAAGAAAAACAGGTAGAAGAAGAGGAGGAGGAGGGAAAGGAGAAGAAAGATAAAGATGAGAAGGAGGAGAAGAAGATGAAGAAGAGGAGGAGGATCAGCAGGATGAAGAGGAAGAAAAAGAAAAAACCAATCTGACTACAGAACAGAAAATTTCTTGTCATGCATGTAATTGGTTTCCATTATATTGTCTCTTCACCTACTGCTTATTAACTAAGGCTTTCAAAATATTGATCAAAACTATTGATGGTAAAGGTGACACAGATACACCTTATACCAGGTACCACAACTGGTATGTGAAACTGGCAATTCTAAACCAGTTTGTCTCCTACTATTAGCAAGAACCTACTATTAATCATCGTCATGTATCATGGTGATGTAAGTTTAAGTGTTAATTTATCCACTTCATATGATCACCAGAATCAATCTTAGGTCTGTGCAATGATCCTGTCCATGCGATATTTATCTCTTTGTCTTCCCCTTATTCTTTCTCAGTCAACTTTGCCTGCTGTCACTGCTTTTCAGTGCTATTTCTCTTCAAAACATGACTAAACACTTTGCCTGTTTATATTTCTCCAATCAGTTTACAGCTTTGTTTGGTTTTTTCTTCTGTTCATCTTGCATAATCTTTGCCTTTCCTTTAGAAAACCACATTTCTGCTGCAAAAAAGGTTTTCTAAGTTTATTCTTCTTGCCTCTTCTTCTTGCTCTTCAATGTTCATCCTTAAAAGAGTGGCTAACATGCTGTGTTGTTTACAGCTAGGCTACAAAATCTGGTCCTGTTGAACCAACACATCTGGCTTCAGCAAACCCACAATTAGTATTAGTAGCCTTTTATGATATGCCTGTTGAGGGGGATGGAGGGGAGGGAAGGGGGGAGTGGTTCTATCCCCCCCCCCCCCACTGTGGCCCCAGAACCCACACCTGGATTTACTTTTACTGAACTTACTTACTTACTTACTTAGTCGCTCCTCTTCTACCTTGGGGTGTAGAGGTTTGCCAGAGAGATCGCCAGACGTCTCTATCAGTAGTTTTCTTTCTGGCTTTGTTCCATTCCAGCCCTCTGTCAGTTAGGGACTGTCGGATGTTGTCTTCCCAGCGCACCCTGGGTCGTCCGGGAGGTCTGGTTCCCTGGTTCTTAGCCTCCCATGCCTGCCATGGTGGCCGATTTTCTCCCATTCTGCATACATGTCCAAACCATGGTAACTGTGACTGATCCACTCGGGTTAGTAAGGGCTGGGTATCAAGATCCTGACGTATTGTCTGATTGCGGACTTTGTCCCTTCTTGTCACTTTTACTGAAAATGCAATATACCTTCGCATAAAATGTTAAGTGTGGTTGGTTAAAGACATAATATTTGCTTTAACTTATAACGGGATGTTTAAAAAATCGTACCTTACCTGGCCTAAAGCTAGAACTTGGAATGATGGAAAGCTGCAGTAAAAAAAAAAAACAAGCGTGAAATGTAAAGAGAAAAAAAAATACACACATGTACTACAAAGTATTCTAAAGATGTTTAAATGTAGAAGAGTCGACTTAAAAGCACGGCTTTTAACCCATATGGCTTGGAACTTCTGCCCAGAGCAGCTGTTCATTTGCCAATACATCACAAGTCAAGGAACTTTAGCTCCAGTTCTGCACTCTACTGCTATATTTAGGTTATGCTTCTTCCTTCCTTTTGACACTATTTCTGTCTTTTCATTGTTAATCATCACACTATTTTTTTTACATTCTTCATTCATGGCTGTGAGCTGTTGTAATGTTACGGCTTTATCTGCTATCAAGGCCTGGTCATCAAAGGGTAATTTGTTGATAGACGAGCTCCATGTGTAATGTTGCTGGTGTAGTTAGAGCAGCAATGCTGGTGTTGACTCGTTCTACCTGTCTGACCTTATGATTGCCTCACCCAAGCCATAAAGTCTGGTCACACGAATGTGTACTCAAAATAAGATGATATCGTTGATATCGTTTATTGTGGCACAATAATTAGTCATTCCGCTGATGTCCAAAGTTCTCCCTAGTTGTTGACATGTGCTCACAACAGCCTACCATGACAAGATGACAGTTAAACAATGGTTGCAGTTAGCTGCCAGTCAGGACGTTCCATTAGAACGAATAATGGCATCTGAATCATCATAACACATTGTTCACATAACACTAGACGTTGTCACTTAGACTCAATTCTCCTCAGGCACTCAAGCTTTACAAAATCTGGTCCTCCAGTTTCACAATGACGTTCACTTCACTCTTACCATCAAGCAACCTTCCTCTCACGTGGTCAAAACACAACTGACTCTACCTACTCTCTTTCTTCAAACCTCCCATTCCAGTCTCGTGCTTTTCCCGTACCTCTGTTCACACAACACGGGATAAACGAGACATGCCATTCTCCCTTTTCTCTTGTTTCCCTTCCCTGGCCATTTGACCTTGTCCCCTCACTTGGAAACTCTCTGGGATTTCCCTGGGAATTCACCTCATTACATTCGATGTAAATGATAAACAACAGTAGTGATAAGACACACTTCTATCTTACTTCAGATGTTAAGGTAAATGGTTTAGAAGTTCCCTGATTTAGTCTAACCATGCTTCTACAATCCCTACATAAACTTTTACATACTTCCATGAGGTGTTTAGCTTACTCCATAATGAGCCATTACTTTCAATAATTCTTGTCTACTCTGTTGAATGCCTTCTCCTGATCTTTAATTGCCATAAATAAGATCTTATCATATATGATGTTCTTTTCTATTCACTGTTTAAGTGTAATGACTGCATCTCAGCAGCTTTTATTTCTCTTAAATCCCAGTCAGTTCTTCTGTGAACTGTGATTCTATCACTAATCTCAGCCTCATTTCTGTAATCATGGCATACATTTCATCAACATAACATAAAAGAGAGGTGCCTTGGGATGGAATGAATGTTCGTTTTCTTTCTTTGTTTTTCCACAATGTCCGTCAGTGGGAGCAGTTTGTAGTACCCATGCTGTATTAAAAAATTATGTGAAGACATCTGGTGATGCTTTCTCCTGCAGCCTGGATTATTTCTATTAGTAATCTTCTTCTTCTTCTGCGTTCATCAGAATATGTAATTGTGTTGTGTCGGTTTACAGCTTGGCTGCAATATTTGCACCTTTAGGCTAACACATCCGACTTCTGCAGGCATTTGTTGACCAGGTTAGCCTTCCCGGTTATTGGTAATCTATCAGCTCTTGATGATGCCATTTACATTATACAGAAATACAGTTAACAAAAATCAAGAAAACCATAGACCAAGAAAAAAAATATACAAATATTTTCACACATTTCTTCTTCTTCTTCCCATTCACCAGCTGTAAACTCTGATGGAAAGTTCTGGTTTTCATCCACTTTCGGACTGCAGTCCCGCTCCAGAACCTGAGTCTTGCGTGTGCATCTGTTTTACAGATCTGACTCATTTGAATGCAGACTGCTGGTTTCTTGCCTCTCAGGCAGATGCACTCCGACTTTGAAGGAAGTTTCCAATTAGTCGACTCTTACGACATGCTTTTGGGTAGGCAGTGGGTCTATTCTTTTCCCTAGGGCCCCAGAACGCACACGGGGATTCACACATTTAATCTGTCATACTTACTTATATGAGGTGAGTACTAGTTTGTTCACAACAACTATCATCATTGATGAAAAGCCATAAAATAAGGCTGCGATAATTCTCTGGATCAAGGGAGATTGATTGTAGTCCATCATGATGGCTTCCTATAGATGAATATTTTATTCTCAACGACATCAAATATAAATTTGAATAAATTAACATATACTGATTCAAAATCATAGATAAAAGAAGAGAAAAGAGGACACACTAGACCAGGCATGTCAAGCTTAGGGTCTCCTGAAGGAAATATGGTTTACGTGTGTATTGTCATGAGGACCAGAAGTCGAATACAATTTTTGCAGAATATATCCTATATGCGGGCCGCAGGTGTGCTTGTAAATGTCTGCAAGTAGCACGCGACCCGCTGGCCACCAGTCTGACATGCCAGCACTAGACCAAATAAAAATAGAAAGCTACGGTTACTTCTTCTTCTTCTTCTTCGCGTTCACCAGCTGTACACTCTGGCGGAAAGTTCTGGTTGCTCGTCCACTAATGAACTCCAGTCCTGCTCCAGAACCTGAGTTTTGTGTGTGCATCAGTTTTACAGATCTCATTCTCTTGAATACAGACTGTTGGTTCCTTGCCTCTCCGGCAGATGCACTCTGACTTCAAAGGAAGCTCCCCAATTAGTCTACTCTTACGGCATGCTTTCGGGGAGGCAGTGGGTCTATTCTTGTTTTCCCCTACAATGGGGACCCGTAACCCCCACGGGGGGCTATAGTTACCATACTAGGACTCAAATATGTGGCCTCCACACGACAGCACTCTGCTATAAGAACAAGTGTTATTCAACTCATAACCAATTTAACACCCCTGGAATATGGTGCCATCAATGGCCAGGTCTATCATACAGCTTGAACCAAAAATTATGGAACATAGACACAGCGTATATCCAACCACTGAAATAGCACCACAGGTTACAAAAATTTATACTAACCAATTATAAATAAAATATCAACCATGCAAACATATAAATTTGAATACCTTGGCTCCTTAACTGATTCTTCTTCTTCTTCTTCAAGTTCAACAGCTCTTAACTCCTATGGTAAGTTCTGGTTGTTTGTCCACTCATGGACTTTAGTCTTGTTCCAGAAATTGAGGTTTGCATGCACACTGTTTTACAGACCTGGCTTATCTGTATGCAGACTTTGGTTCGTCACCTCTCAGGCAGATGCACTTTGACGGAACCACCGCTTATTAGTCTACTTTTACGACATGCTTGTAAGGGGCCAGTTGGTCTATTCATTTTTTTCTTCCACAATGGGGCCCCAGAACTCACAAGGAGAAACTGATCCAGTAACAGGCAAACTCATCATGATTTTGTTTTCTATTTACATGACACATTTTCTCATCTTAATTTGTTATTCTAACCTATGCTGCTCCAACTGTTACTTTTAACTTCTCTGTTATATTTCTGTTATTTCAACTCATTCCTTCCCAAACATTTATTAGTTATAGTAAAAACTTTATAGGACTGAAAAAAGTTAAATAATTCCTGTATGTACTGAAAAAGTTAACAAAGAGGACTGTTCAAAATGAGTCAGACGGAGAGTGACCCAAGCAATTCAGAAGACAATTAAAGCCTTTAACTTGAATGTAACAGAAACATTTTTGGAACGCTATGGACAAGAAAAAAAAAGATATTTTACCAGATTTTAATATAAAAGAAAACGGGCTCAGCATCCTAAGAAACTGAAATACTTTGGTTGTATTCAGGGATGCCAGAATATGGGCTCAAAGGCAGGCTGAAAAAAAAATATTGAATTTATGGTTTGCTTGCAAATATATATATACATAATTACTGTGAACACATTCTGAAGAAAATAACACGCAATGAATGAAAGAAGCACTAACTGGATGAGCACAGAATCTAACAGGAGCAAATCTGAGAAACTCCGTTCAACCCTATATAAAAGTTTTAATGGGTTCTTGGCTCTCCCACTTCTACCCTTATATTATGGTGGCCAAACAAATAACCTAATAGGGCCTCAGTCGTATGCAAAATGCAGACTTCCTACCGAGGAACAAATGCTCTAACAGGGTCTCAGCAATATGTTAATTGCGGACCTGTTTCTGCGACTATGCCGCACCGCTGACATTAATCCCTGCGACGCTACGGCGGCACTGATGGGGGGGGGGGCTAAACTAAATGGCTGGGACTCATTAACAGCAGCTACTGCATCTCCTGAACTTCCTCTAATTTATTTGCTTGTGAGTCCCAGACATCTAGCTTAGATCCCCATCCATGGTGCACTTAGCGGCGTGGGGGATACTGTCAACGGTGAGTTTAACCACGTTTTGCGCATGCCGAAAAGTGTGAGGACAACAACGACTCTAATCCACGAGTGCGTGGTCTCCCCGCCATGTCGCTATTTTCACCTGTAATGTTGCGTCTCGAAATTGTCAACGGTCGCTATTATCATCTGCTACTAAAGTCTGCAGTGTTGCGTGTCTTGAAATTGTCAAGTAATCCTAGTTTTGCCGTGATGTGTTTGTCGCAGGAACACACGACTAAGGCCCTGTTAGGGTATTTGTCTGGCCACCATAATATGGGGTAGAAGTTCGGAGGAGAGCCAGGTTCTCTACAGCTACAGATTAGACTGCTGTCCAATGTGGGTTTTTTGTTCCAATTAAACTCTTAATCAGATAATACGGATTCCAAAAGACAGGCTGAGACATCAGAAAGCAATTAAATGCTAATGCAAATTTGAAATATCTTTTTTAATTAGTTATAGTAAAGACTTTCTAACTATTTGAAACAGCTTCCTTCGAAGTCAGAGTTCATCTGCCTGAGAGGCAAGGAACCAGCAGTCTGCATACAAAAGTCACACCTGTAAAACAGACTCTCCTGTCAACTACGGCGGGTAGACAATAGTAGACGGCCAGTTAGTCGGAGTTCTGTCCCTTGGCTGCAATGCAATTACGGACTGGAAAAGGCACCAATCAAAAAACAAAGCGAGGTCGACATGCCTGGCAGAACCCGCACTGCGCGACTCAAATTAGCGACCGCGTTCAATTACCGCTTCTTGTGACGCATTACGGAGTGGATTAGAGGGAAGGAAACAAGTGACATAATTACTGTGTGTGGCGATAGACAGGGTGCAGTGCCCTACTGTCATCATACGGTTAGGGTTTGGGTTAGGGGTAGGGTTTGGGTTAGGTTTAGGGTTTGGGTTGCTACGCTGAGTTTCTGTGAAGACGAGAAGCGGCGACACTAACCGTAACGCTAACCCAAACCATAACTCTAACCCTAACCGTAACCGTATGATTATAGCAGGGCAGTGCACGCCGTCTATCGCCAACACACAGTAATTGTGTCAATTGTTTCGTTCCCTCCTTTTCCACTCCGTAATTGCACTGTAGCCAAGGGACAGAACTCCGACTAACCGGCCGTCTACTGTTGTCTACCGGCCGTAGTTGACAGGAGAGCCGTAAAACAGATACTCTGAGATACACATGCAACACTCAGGTTCTTGAAGTGAATGAACAACCAAAACTTTCCGCCAGAGTTTACAGCTGGTGAACACAAAGAAAAAGAAGAAGAAGAAGAAGAAGAAGAAGAAGAAAAAGAAGAAGAAGAAGATCAAATATCTCTCTTACCGTTCTCTCTGCCAACAATCACTGACACAAGAATCTATTTCAATTGGTGTGGCCGCTATAATTATAATAAAGCAACAACTTTAAGTTGTACTTGTTAGCTGAAACTTTCGGCGTCAGCTTTGCTGAACACGAACAACTGCACTAATCATTATTTATCGTTATTCGGTTCACTTTGGCGTTCAGTTTAATAATTAAGTTACGTTTTGCTTCATCAACTTTAATTACTTTAATCAATTGACTGACACTCCAGTGAGTTTGTTAGTGTTCGTTCACACTCACACAGACATTTTTCTTCTGTTTCGTGTTTCGAACAGCACAGATCAAACTATGATAAATAACTCTGTGACACAGGCGACTTCAGTTACTGAAAAAAAAAATCCATGATCCCTTTGGATAAAGTTTGCGTGATTAATATTTTGTTCTGTTCTAGACCTGCCTGTCTACGTTTCAACAACTGCAGTGGGTGGGCTTAAAAATTAGCCCCTGGAAACCAAAATGTCTGATCTTGTTGAGCGAAACAATATTACTAATATTATTAGAAAAAGGTTCATACACTTCTACTTTTTATACCTGTTTGTTTATTTTGTTCACTGCCGTCTCCAAGTCTAGGTGCTGACCACATCAACCACCGAGTGCCATTAGTCTATAGTAATTAGTGATTAGAAAGGATTATCATCACAGCACTCCGGACAGATCCATAGGTGCTCCGATCTCCTCAAAAGCTTCACAAGTGTTAAACAACTGATGACGCTTGTTCTGTGTTGGTTAATGACATGTCTTGTCCCCTTAGTGAAATGTTCATTTCTTGAAACTCCAGTAGTCAATAAATATGGGTCTACCACTACATGCCCAGTACGCCAGAAATATAGTTCTTTGGTCCCATAACTTGGAGAACGGGGAAATCCCAGCAGCACCTAGTCCATAGAACCGGTAACATAAAGTTAGTTGCCTATCCTTTTACAGGACGTTGCAGAACCTACCCCATCATTTGTTGGCTGTTGTGGTTTTTCAGGGCAAATTTACGTCTAGCAGTTTGCTATTGCCTTCTGGACGGTCGGTTTCTCTGTCTATATCTTCAACGGGCAAACATGAAGTATTATTATTATTAAACACACAGTTCCATTTCCGGACTCATGACTTCTCCACATTTCTATGGGACTGAGCTCAATAAGAGAATGCCCAGTAATTCTGATGATCAGCAGTGCAAACATAATTTGTACATGGAGAGATGATCTCGTTGAAGTCAGTATGAAGTTCATTTGAGAGATACGCTTTCACATTTCACTACAGGATACTGAGTATGTGCGTGGGGTAATGTGTGCACTTGCAATGTTGTTATCCCCCTGGCAATGCTACTGTGTCTCCAAACCCTCCTCATCTAGAACTCAGGGAGCTGATTTAAGTACTGCTTCTGACTGCCCGAGCCGCTACAACTAACCACAGCTACAAACAAGAAGCAGTGTCCATGGATCTGGTGCAGCTGCTTCGTGGA